CCCGGCCCCCCCCCCCCCATGGCCAGTGATCTACTGGGAACCAGTTCCTGCCCCTTAACCCAACTGGGACCAGTGCCTGCCCCACTGGAAACCTCAACTGGGACCAGTTCACACCCCATAACCCAACTGGGAATGGATTCTTTCCTTACTGGGAGCCAGTTCCTGCCCTATAACCCAACTGGGAACCAGTTTCCACCCTACTGGGAACCAGTGCCTACCCCATAACCCAACTGGGAACCAATTCCTGCCCTACTGGAACCAGTTCCCACCCCATAACCCCAACTGGGAATGGATTCCTGCCCTACTGGGAGCCACTTCCTTCCCCACAACCCAACTGGAACCAGTTCCCACCCCATAACCTCACTGGGAACCAGTTCCTGCCCTACTGGGACCAGTTCCCACCCCACTGGGACCGGTTCCCGCCCCACCGGAGCCTCCTCCGTGCCCCTCCCCCCGCCCGGCCCCGGGGGGTGCCTTCCCCTCCTCTCCCCCGCTCGTTTTTTGGGGACATTTCAATAAAATCGGCGACTTTGGCTCCTTCCTGGCGTCTCTTCCGGGTGTGGGCGTGGTTTGTGTGCAACTTTGCCCATATATGGTCCTAGCCCCGCCTCGTAGCGTTGAGCGGCGCTTCCCATTGGCTCCCACCTCTTGGCTCCGCCCCCCTTCCCCCTCATGAATGAACGGCGGGTGGGCGGGATCGCTGCCGCGCCACCGCGCATGCGCAGCCGACTCCGGGTCACCTTCCCCGCGCTGGGCGCAGGCGCGCTGCGCTGAGTGGGGGGGGGAGAGAAGCGCGCGCGCGGGGCGCGCAGGCGCAGAACGAGCGGCCGGCGTGAGGGGAGAAGGCGAGGCGGCGGCGGCAGCGCCGAGCGCGGACAGCGAGCAGCGAGCGGACAGCGCGGCCGCCATGTACCGGCACGTCACCGCCGCCGTCACCGCCGCCGGCCGCCTCCGCGGCAGCCGCCGCGGCGCCGCCCGGGCCGGCCCCGCCGCGCCGCCGCTACCGAGCGCGGCCGCAGGTGAGGGGAGAGCGCTGAGGGGGCAGAGGGACGGGGCGGGGCTATGCAAATTGAGGGGCGGGGTTATGCAAATTGAATGTTTTGGGAAGGGGTTATGCAAATAGAAAGATGTGGGCGGGGCGGGGACATGCAAATTGAGTTCTGCGTGGAGTGTTAAGGTAGGGCGTGGTCATGCAAATCAACAGATAAATAGTTTCGCTTTGCCGCTAACAGGGCGTGGTTATGCAAATTATCCACCTTACATAGTTTCGCTTTTGCCGCTAGGGGGCGTGGTTATGCAAATAGAGGGCGGGTTCACGCGGGGGCGGGGCTTCCGCATGGGGGCGGAGCCGGGAGTCCCTGGTGGGAACCAAATTGGGCAAATCCTCCAAAAATGGGGCAAATATCCCAAAAATGGGGCAAGTCTGCCCAAAAATGGGGTAAATCCTCCCAAAATCGGGAAAATCCTCCTTTCTGTGGGGCTAATCTTCCTAAAATGGGGCAAGTCTGCCCAAAAATGGGGTAAATCCTCCCAAAATCGGGAAAATCCTCCTTTCTGTGGGGCTAATCTTCCTAAAATGGGGCAAGTCTGCCCAAAAATGGGGCAAATCCTCCCAAAATCGATAGAAATTGCCTTTTCCACGGGGCAAACTCCCCACAAATGACTCAATTCCATCCCTGAGTGCTCCCTCACTCCCTCAGCCCCAAATTCTCCTTTTTATCCCCAAATTCCCCCTTTTTACCTCCTCAATTCTCCTTTTTTCCCCCCAAATTCCCCCTTATTTCCCCTAAATCCCCTTTTTCCCCCCTAAATTCCCCCTTTACCCCCCAATTCCTCCATTTCCCCCCAAAATTCCCCCTTATTTGCCCTAAATCCCCCTTTTCCCCCCTAAATTCCCCCAAATTCCCAATTTCCCCCTCAAATTTCCCCATTTCCCCCCAAATTCTCCCATTTCCCCCCCCAAATCCCCTTTTCCCCTTCCCAAATCCCCTTTTCCCCTTCCCAAATCCCCGTTTTTCCCCCCCAAATCCCCGTTTTTCCTCCCCAAATTCCCGTTTTTCCCCCCCAAATTCCCATTTTCCCCCCCAAAATCCCCTTTTCCCCCCCCCAAAATCCCCATTTTCACACCCCAAAATCCCCTTTTTTTCCCTTAAAATCCCCATTTTTCTGCCCCAAAAATCCCAAATTGACAGGGGGATGAAATGGGGAGGGGGGAAAGAATGGGGAGGGGGGGATGATATGGCCCAAGGAGGTGACAAAATGGGGAGGGGGACGACAAATGGAGAGGGGGTGACAAATGTGGAGGGGATGACAAAATGGCCCAGGGAGGTGACAAAATTGTGGGGGATTGATGGGAAAAGGGGGTGGGACAGAGCTGGGGAGGTGACAGCAGCAGGGGAGGTGACAGCAGCAGGGGGAGGTGACAGCAGCAGGGGGAGGTGACAGCAGCCCCCTGTCCCCCCCAGCTCCCCAATTTCTTCCTGAAGATCCCGGACTACGCCCTGTACGCCCCCGACGTGGAGTTCCAGTGCCAGCACCTGCACCTGCACACGCGGTGGGTGACACTGGGACAGCCCTGGGGACAGCCCTGGGGACACCGGGACGGCTCTGGGGGGGTCAGAACCACCTGCTGCACCTGCACACGCGGTGGGTGACACTGGGGACATGGGGACAGCCCTGAGGACATTGGGACAGCCCTGTCACTGCAGTGTGGCCCTGGGGAGGTGACAGTGCTGGGGCATGTCAGGGTGTCACAGGCAGGTGACAATGGGTGACAATGACACTGTCCCGTGTCCCCAGGGGCTGTGCCACGTACGCCGTGGCCGTGGCGCTGTGCTGGGCAGTGATGGGGCAGTGTCGGGGTGGCACAGGGAGGTGACAGTGACACTGACAGTGATGTCCCCGTGTCCCCAGGGGCCGCGCCATGTACGCCGTGGCCGTGGCGCTGTGCCGGGCAGTGACAGTGGGTGACAGTGGGTGACAGTGGCAGTGATGGGGTGGCACAGGGAGGTGACACTGGCAGTGACAGTGATGTCCCCGTGTCCCCAGGGGCCGCGCCATGTACGCCGTGGCCGTGGCGCTGTGCCGGGCCCTGGCCTGGGGTTACTTTGCCAGCCTGAGGCTGGAGGTGCTGGCGCTGACGCGGCACCCCGAGGACTGGAGCGTGCGGGCGCGGTGGCGCCTGACGGGGCTGCCCCTGCACCTGCTGCTGCTGCGCTGGTACCGGCGGGACAAATGGACCCTGCTCAGGTGAGGGACACCCTGTGCCACCCCTGTGCCACCCTGCATTGTCCCTGTGCCACCCCCGTGTCACTGCCCCTGCCCCTGCTGCTGCTGCGCTGGTACAGGAGGGACAAATGGACCCTGCTCAGGTGAGGGACACCCCTGTGCCACCCCCTGCCATCCCTGTGTCACCCCTTTCCACCACCAGAACAAGTGGCACCTGCTGCACTCAGTGACACACCTGTGCCACCCCTGTGCCACCCCCTGCCATCCCTGTGTCACCTCTTTCCACCACCAGAACAAGTGGCACCTGCTGTGCTCAGTGACACCCCTGTGCTACCCCTGCGCCACCCGTGCCGCCACTGTGCCACCCCCAGACCCACCTGTGTCACCCCTGTGCCACCCCTGACCCACCCATGTCACCCCCGTGCCACCCCGATGTCCCCAAGCCCCCCCGTGTCCCCCCAGGTCCTACGACGCCTTGTCCACCTTCTTCCTCAACTCGCAGGGGCTCATCCGCTGCCACCGCGTGGACAAGGTGAGTCTGGGGACCCTGGGGACACCCCGGGGACGTCCCCGGTGTCCCCTGACCCCGTGTCCCCCCCAGCTGATGCCAGCCCCCACGGCCGTCCCCGAGCCCAAGAAGCTGCTGGTGGCCGCGGCGCTGGCGGTGGCGCTGGCCCGGCCCTGAAGCCACCGGGGAGGGGACACCCGGGCGCCCCTCCCCCCTCGGGTGTCCCCTCTGTCACCTGTCCCCTCCCCCCCGTCCCCTCCCCTTAAATTAATGTACAGAATAAAGAGCCAGCGGTGACACGGGGACAGCGAGCCCGGGGCTCTATTGGGGGGTCCAAAGTGTCCCCAAAGTGTCCTCGGGTGTCCCCAAAGTGTCCCCAAAGTGTCCCCCCGGGTGTCCCCGGGCTCAGCCCAGCTCCTCCCGCGATTTTCCGGCTTTTTTGGGCATTTTGCGGCCGCTGCCGTCCTCGAGCTCCTTGGCCTGGTAATAGTGAGGGGCCACCTCCAGCAGCCAGGAGCTGTCGATCACGATCACCTGGGGACAAGGAAACGCCTGTCACACACCTTGGGACACCTGGGACACACCTGTCACACCTGGGGACACCCCTAGGGACAGCTGGGACACCCCTAGGGACAGCCCGGGCCACCTCCAGCAGCCAGGAGCTGTCGATCTCGATCACCTGGGGACAAGGACACGCCTGTCACACACCTGGGGACACCTGGGACACCCCTGTCACACCCCTAGGGACAGCTGGGGACACCCCTAAGGACATCTGGGGACACGTGGAGACAGGGACGATGGTTTGGGGTCCCTGCTTTGTCACTGAGGTGCAGTGCCCAGCGTGTCCCTTGTGTCCCTGTACCCACACTGCCCTGTGTCCCCCTGTCCCTGCCATGTCCCCAGGGTGTCCCCAAGGTGTCCCCATGTCCCCAGGGTGTCCCCACCTGTCTCATGAACTCCTTGGAGGTGCACACCAGCTCGTGGCGGCTGCAGCGCGAACAGGGCGCTGTTGGGGTGGATGAACACGGGCTGCTGGTGCTTCACCGTGCGGTACCCGCCCCGCGCCAGCCGCGCCGTGTGGTAGAAGAACCCGGCCGTGATGGCCTGGGGGACAGAAACGGGGACAGCGTTACTGGGAGGGCACTGGGATACACTGGGATGCACTGGGATATACTGGGATACACTGGGATCAGTGCCCGCCCCGCGCCAGCCGCGCCGTGTGGTAGAAGAACCCGGCTGTGATGGCCTGGGGGACACAAAGGGGGACAGCGTTACTGGGATATACTGGGAGGGCACTGGGATACACTGGGATGGCATTGGGATCAGTGGACATTTTGGGAAGTGTTTTGGGGAATATTTTGGGCAGTTTTGGGGCTCACCTTCCTGACGAGGTCCAGGTTGCCCGCGCAGGAGGAGGGCGCTGAGGTGTCATTGGGGGGATATTTTGGGGGATATTTTGGGGCTCTTTGTGGGATATTTTGTGGGATATTTTGGGGCAGTTTCGGGGGTGTTTCGGGGCTCACCTTCCTGACGAGGTCGAGGTTGCCCGTGCAGGAGGAGGGCGCTGAGGTGTCATTGGGGGGATATTTTGGGGGATATTTTGGGGGATATTTTGGGGCTCTTTGTGGGATATTTTGTGGGATATTTTGGGGCAGTTTCGGGGGTGTTTCGGGGCTCACCTTCCTGACGAGGTCGAGGTTGCCCGCGCAGGAGGAGGGCGCTGAGGTGTCATTGGGGGGATATTTTGGGGGATATTTTGGGGGATATTTTGGGGGCTGTTTTGGGGTGGTTCTGGGCAGTTTTGGGGCTCACCTTGCGGACCAGGTCCAGGTTGCCCGCGCAGGAGGAGGGCGCGATCTCCACGCGCTCCATCAGCCCCTGCAGCTGCTCCCGCACGTCGCGGGCGCGGCGCAGCGAGCGCGCCTGCACAAAGTGCTCGTAGCACCACTGCAGGGAGTGCCCGCTGGCCACCCACTGCCACCACGGGGACAGCAGGGGACACAGGGGGACATTGGGGACAGCAGGGGGACATGGGGAGAGCGGGGACACGGGGGACAGCGAGGATAGCAGGGGACATGGCAACAGAGCAGGGACAGCAGGGACACGGGGGGACAGTGGGGACACAGGGATCAGCGGGGGACACGGCGACAGCAGGGGACAACGGGGACATGGGGACACAGGGGGACATGGGGACAGCGGGGGACACGGGGATGGGGGGACAGCAGGGATAGTGGGGGATAGCAGGGGGCAGCAGGGACACAAGGGACATGGGGGGACAGCAGGGACACAGGGATCAGTGGGGGACATGGGGACACAGGGACATGGGACAGCAGGGACATGGGACAGCAGGGACATGGGGACAGCAGGGACACGGGGGGACAGCAGGGGACATGGGGTGACAGCAGGGGATATAGGCGAACACAGCGGGACAAGGGGGACAGTGTTGGGGACACACAGAGGCACACGGTGACATTGCCACAGGGAAGGACAAGGACACAGAGAGGGACACGGTCAGTGCTGCTGCTGGACGCTGTCATGTCCCCACACCCCAAGTCCCCAGTGTCCCCAAGCCCTCGATGTCCCCAAGGTCCTCCATGTGCCCAACCCCCCGATACCCCTGCTGTCCCCAGTGTCCCTGCTGTCCCCAGTGTCCCTGGCGCCCTCAGTGTCCCCACACCCACCAGTGTCCCTGCTGTCCCTGGTGTCCCCCTTGTCCCCAAGGTCCCCACTCCCCCTGGTGTCCCCGATCCCCTGGTGTCCTCACACCCCCCAATGTCCCCGTGTCCCTGATGTCCCTAATGCCCCCCATGTCCCCCGTGTCCCTACTGTCTCCACTGTCCCTAATGTCCCCCATGTCCCTGCTGTCCCCAGTGTCCCTGTTGTCCCCAGTGTCCCTGGTGTCCCCAGTGTCCCCGGTGTCCCAAATGTCCCTGTTATCCCCTGGTGTCCCCGGTGTCCCCACACCCCCTGATATCCCCAGTGTCCCCAATGTCCCCGGTGTCCCCAATGTCCCCCGTGTCCCCGCTGTCCCCACACCCCGTCATGTCCCCCATCTCCCCCTGGTGTCCCCGGTGTCCCCATGTCCCCGGTGTGGCCGTGCCTGGTTGTAGACGTTGAGCAGCACCAGGTGGTCGCCCCCGGGCACGCTGAAGGCCACGCGGGCGCTGTCGGCGTGCAGCACCTTGTCCTTGGGCCGGTAGAACACGGCGTTGTTCACCGAGAGCATGGCGGCCACCGTCAGCACCTCCTCGGTGCAGCCGTACCTGGGACAGGGGACAGCGGGGACACTGAGGGGACACTGGGGACAGCGGCAGCACCTCCTCCGTGCAGCCGTACCTGATTGGGGACAGCGGGGACACTGAGGGGACAGCAGGGACATTGGGGACACCCAGGGGACACTTTGGGGACGCCTGGGGACACTTGGGGACACGTGTGTCACTCACTGCTCGCTCGCCAGGATCATCTTGGCCAACATCGGCTCCACCGGCAGCTCCGCCATGCGCCGGCCCAGCTGGGACAGGACAGAGGGACAGGGGGACAGGGACAGGGGGACAGGGACAGCAGGGTCAGTGGTGACCACCAGGGACACCCCCAGTCCCCACTCCCAGTGCTCCCAGTCCATCCCAGTCCATCCCAGTCCCGTGGTCAGCTCCCCCAGGTGGTTCAGGGCCCCCATTCCCAGTGCTCCCAGTCCATCCCAGTGCTCCCAGTACCGTGGTCAGCTCCCCCAGGTGGTTCAGGGCCCCCATTCCCAGTGCTCCCAGTCCATCCCATGGTCAGCTCCCCCAGGGGGTTCAGGGCCCCCATTCCCAGTGCTCCCAGTGCTCCCAGTACCGTGGTCAGCTCCCCCAGGTGGTTCAGGGCCCCCAGGGCGTAGAGCTGCTCCAGCGCCAGCACCAGCGTCTCGTGGGGAGGGGGGTCCAGGAAGTCAAAGTGGATCAGGTCGTTGATGCCTGGGGACACGTCGGGGTCACCTTGGGGTCACCTCGGGGTCACCTGATGTCACCTGGCTGTCCCCAAGCCCTCTGTGCCACCCTGGTGCCCCCAATCCCCTCCCAGTGCCCCCCAGTCCCGCCCAGTTGCCCCAGTGCCCACTGATGCTGTTGAGCAGCAGCACCGGTGCCCCCCAGTCCTTCCCAGTGCCCCCCAGTCCCCTCCCAGTGCCTGGAACTCCATTCCCAGTGCCCCCCAGTTGCCCCAGTGCCCACCCAGGCTCTTCAGCAGCAGCACCAGTACCCCCCAATCCTCTCCCAGTGCCCCCCAGTCCCTCCCAGTGCCCATAACTCCATTCCCAGTGCCCGTAACTCCATTCCCAGTCCCTCCCAGTGCCCCCCAGTGCCCATCACTCCACTCCCAGTGCCCGTAACTCCACTCCCAGTCCCTCCCAGTGCCGCCCAGTCCCTCCCAGTGCCCACCGAGGCTCTTGAGCAGCAGCACCAGCGAGCCCAGGTCGGCTCTCTGGATCTCGGGCACCGCCGTCTCCTCCAGCTCGTGCTGGAACGCCCAGGCCGTGTAGAGCCGGAAGCACTTCCCGGGCGCCACGCGGCCCGCGCGGCCCGCACGCTGGTTGGCCGAGGCCTGGGGACAATGGGGACACCTGTGACACCTGGGACCTGACACCTGTGACACCTGGGACACCTGTGACACCTGTGACACCTGTGACACCAGTGACACGCGGCCCACGCGGCCCGCACGCTGGTTGGCCGAGGCCTGGGGACAATGGGGACAGCAGAGTGACACCTGGGACACCTGTGACCTGTCACCTGGGACACCTGTGACACCTGGGACACCTGTGACACCTATGACACCTGTGACACCTGTGACACCTGTGACCTGTGACACCAGTGACACGCGGCCCGCGCGGCCCGCACGCTGGTTGGCCGAGGCCTGGGGATGTGACACCTGTGACCTACCTGTCACCTGTGACACCTGTGACACCTGTGACACCTGTGACCTGTGACACCAGTGACACGCGGCCCGCGCGGCCCGCCCGCTGGTTGGCTGAGGTCTGGGGACAGCAGAGTGACACCTGGGAGACACCTGTCACCTGGGACACCTGTGACCTGTCACCTGACTGGAGACATGGCACTGTCACCTGCCCAAGACACACTGGGGACACAGCAGGGACATGTAAAAATATGGAGGTGTAACACATGACAGTACGGTGGCACAGGTGACAGTAAGGTGACAATAAGTGACACAGGTGACCCAGGTGTCTCACCTTGGAGCAGGGCGTCACCACCAGGGACTCCATGCCCGTGCGGGCGCTGTAGCTCTTCTGCTTGCAGAAGCCCGGGTCCAGCAC